TTTGGAGAGGCGAAAACTCGATGTCGTTGCCGTCGGAGCCCCCGAGTCGAGTCTGTGCCTGCAAAGCTCGGCTCGGAGGAGGCAGCGGGGAGGATTTTCCTTCCCTTCCCCTGTCTCAGCCCCCGGAGGCCCAGACAAAAAAGGAACAGCATGTCTTTGAGCCCGGCCGAGGTGGGCATTGTGCGAGTTTCAGACGGGGGACTTCATGGAGCGGAGTGGACACAAAGGCGTGTCTGAGTTCCCGAATCCCAGACGGTGTGATCTGCATTTTAATAGAAGACAAAAATCAATTAAACAATCTTTGGAAAATCCTCCTTCCTAGCTCGAGGGCTTCGGCTGGTTCTGGTTTATTGCAGCTTTTATTTCTCCTGCATCCTGAGGGTAAAATTTGCTGCTTTTCCCCCCCCCCCCTCCCCTCCATTGGTGTTTTTGGTTTTATTTGGATTCTCACGGAGAACACGGGGTGTCTTTTCCCTGGAACTGCAGCGGGTTTCTGGTGCAGCTGTTTGGCTTTGAAGGCTGATTTTTTTACACATGGCCACCTTAAAGAGTGGCAGCAGCAATCTAATAAAACCCTGAAGTGAAATGTTTGAGGACTCTCATCCCCATTTAGGTTTTTCACACACGGGGGAGAGATTTCCCCATAAATCCAGTGGGAAGAATAACTTTATTTTAAGGCTTCCAGCAAAAATCCTCCTGTGTTAATGTGGATTTGCTGTTGAGTGTTTTCATATTTTTAGTGTTTCATCCGAAGATTTATGATTATTATTATTATTGTTGTTGTTATTATTATTGTTTTTACAGCTGCAATTTTTTGCTTGGGAGGGACCTTGGAGAAGAAATGAGTTTTCTGCCCTCCCTGGTGTGACTTTAGGTGTAGACACAGGTGTGCCCTGTGGGATGTGAAGCTCCTGGGCTGTTGCCTTCATCCCCCCCTCCCCGAGGAGCTTCTGGAGGAGGAGGAGGAGGAGAGGTCAGAGTGGGTTTTGACATCAGGAAGGACAATTGCTGTCAGGGTGTCTAGACAGACCTGATAAGGATATTAGAGGCTCACAAAGAGCAGCATTGTGGAGGGGTCAGGGAATCGGTCACACATGTTGGGTTTGCTGTATTTGTCAGGTAGACAGGGCTGGGGGGGGGAAGAAGTTGTTGGGGGGTGAAGGAAGGGAGGGGGGACTACAAATATCTTCATTATGGAGCTCTGGGTTTGGTTAAAACCGAGCTGTGGGTTGGTAAAGTTAAGGTTTAATTGTCTGGAGAGGAGGTGCTGGTGCATCTTCCTCCTGTCCATGCTGTTTTCTTTTTCAACCAGTAAAACTTTCCACCCCCAGATTCAGCCTTAGGAGCTGTTTGGCTCCTGATCCTTCAGGAGCATCACTTCTTGTTAAGAGAGGTGGTGATGAATCCCGAGCAATTAACACCCCTAAAGAGGGTTTATTCTCCTGACTGGGGTTTGAACACTCTCATTTGTAAACTCCTAGTTTTACAAACACTTCCCCCTGTAAACCAGGGAAGGGTTTGAAGGCAGATTTGTTGTAAAGGAGCTGTGATGAACCATCACTTCCATCCATCTCTGGTAATGAATGTCTGAGTGTGCCAGACACTAATCAATACAGCAAGGCTTTAATATCAGCCTTGCCCTCAGAGCCAGAGCCAGTGATTTATCATTGTTGCTCCTATCTGCTGGCCTGTGAAAAGTCTCACTCTTGCCTTTCTGGGTGTTTTACTTAATCTTAAATCTTGTTACACCGCCATGGTTTTGTCCCTACAAGTGTAAAAGGTGGGGTGTTTTTTTTCCCCTCTGTAAAAATACCACTCTTGCTGATAACACGGAAAAATGATACTAAAGCACTGCTCGTGTTTATATAGAGGAGGGGTAGGATGGTGTGGCAGTTTGAGCCACATTAGAAATCTAAAATCCAATTTCCAGGCTCCCCCCCCACCCCTTCCCACCTTTGGGGGAGGCCAAAACCTCAAATTCTTTCGTCTGCCTTTAATTTTTAATTTTTAACCTCGGGAGGAACACGAGGTTTGAAGTGAAAACAGCTGATCTGCACTCCTTGGCCTGAAGTTTGCAAGCAGGAAAAATAAAAGCCCGAGAATTGCTTCAAAGAGCAGCTCGTGGCTCTTGATCAGCAAACCTGAACCTGAATTAGAGGTAACTTGGTCTTCCAGGAATATTTTGAGGCGCCCTTTGATGGTTTGGTGGCTCTTTGTTGCTGTTTCTGCCTCAGAACCATGAGAACAACTGCAGGGGTTGGTGAGACGCAGGCCTGGAGATGAGGTGTGAGAGCACGTGGCTCCTGCTGCCCTCAGAGAGGAGGAGGCACCTGGAGAATCATGGAATCATGGAATGGTCTGGCTTGGAAGGGACCTTAAAGCTCATCCAGTTCCATGGGCAGGGATGTTTAAGGTCCTGCTGGAAAAGTGCCTCCTGGCATAGCCTGGCTCCTAAATTTTGGGCTCAGCTGATGATTTAGTTTGTGAGCATTTTTCCCTCAGACCTCAGGCCGTGTGGGTTTGTCCTGGAGTTCTTGGAAATTTGGGTTTGGTGGCTCTGAAAGGTTCAGTTCCGTGGTACCAGATGAAAAAACGTCCAACTGGAGCTTTGCTGGTGGGACTGGAGTGTCCCCAGAGGCCAAAGAAGAGCGTGGGAGAAGCTTCCAGAACCAAGGGGAGCTCCCAGTGTTGGGATCAAACAGTGCTTTCCAGTCAGGATTGCTGGGAGGAAAGAAACCACCCTTCTCTCTGGTTTTAAAGTCTTTGCAAGGTATCCAACTGACACTTTGTGTTTTAAAGGGTTTAAAGGAAATTGGCTCCGTTGATTGCCAGGATATTTGAGATGTTTTCATGTCACAGAGGCAGAAATAATTCACTATGTGAGTTGAGTCACCAGTGCTGTCACCCAGCCCTGAGAGCTCTTTATCTGATGACAAATGTGAATTTACTCTCCAGGCCAGCATGGATGATGGATCTGATCCTTCCAGTTCTGCCTTTTCCACAGAGTCACCCCTTGGAAAAAAAAAAAAAAAAAAAAAAAAAAAAGCAGGGATTATGACTTTCTACCTCTATAAATAACCGAGCCAGTCTTTCCTTGGAGTGTGGGTGTTGCTGATAACTATTGTCAGTTAAATGTTGATGTCTTTGTTCACACACATCAGAGCCCAACAAACGGTCCTGTGGGTGGAACTGTTAACACAGGTGGAGAGATGCCTTTGTTGTTCCCATTATGGTTTGGGGTTTGGTTTTTTTTTCACAGTTTTAGCTGTAAACTCCCTCCAGGTGCTGTTTACAAGTTTATACAACCCGGTGTAAACTGATGTCGGTCTCTCGCTCTGCCATTAAACCTTCCAGAAGGAAAATCCTGTGCTCATCTCCTGTCTGACCACCTTGGTTTTTTGTTGCTTTCCCGGTGTCTTTAGGAGCTGGAGAAGCTGGGCCTGAGGGATGACGTGGATCTGCACGTCTACGAGGTTCCTGTTGAATACCAGACAGTGCAACGACTCATTCCTGCCCTGTGGAAGAAGCACAGCCCCCAAGTGAGTGAGTAAAGGCAGGAAAACCACCCAGCAAAGGGTTGAGACCTACAGTGAGCATCATGTGAAGTCCCAATTTTAATGTCTTCTCTCAGACCGGTGATCCCTGTGTGGATCTTTTCATCTTTTGTCGTGAGAACATGTGAATTTGGAGGGTTTTACAGCTCAGAGTGCTCCAGTTCCTGGGTGTGAAGAGGCCACTGCAAAGGGCTGTCTAGACAGCCCGTGGTTAGTCTGTGCCACCTGGGCTCCTCCAGCAGCTGTGAACGTGCCAGCGCTGGTTTTTACCCTGATTAAATCACAATTTGGGTCAGGAGGGGGTGAAACAAGGGTTGTGCTGTACTGAACCCCTGATAAAGTGCTTGATGCTCCTGGAAGAACTCCTGCAACAGCTCCAGCATGAACTGGGAATAGAATCGTGGAATCACAGGATGGTTTGGGTTGGAAGGGCCTTAAATGTCATCCAGTCCCACCCTCTGCCACAGGCAGGGACACCTCCCACTATCCCAGGTTGCTCCTTTGATCCAACCTGGCCTTGGACACTTCCAGGGATGGGGCAGCCACAACTTCTCTGGGCACCCTGTGCCAGGGCCTCCCCACCCTCCCAGGGAAGGATTTCTTCCCAGTATCCCATCTATCCCTGCCCTCACAGAATCATTTAGGTTGGAAAAACCCTCTGGGATCACAGAATCCAGCCTGTGACCAGTCACCACCTCGTCACCCACAGAACAGCTCTGAGTGCCCCATCCAGTGCCCTGGGCAGGAATCACGGATACCCGGAGTTTGGAAGGCTCCCACAAGGATCAGGCTGTTGGTTTCCCACCGTTTTGGGGTTGATCCAGCTCGTTTCTTTTCCCTTGCAGCTGGTGGTTCACGTGGGAGTGTCGGGCATGGCCACGACCGTCACCCTGGAGAAGTGTGGCCACAACGTGGGTTACAAAGGGTTGGACAACTGTCGGTTCTGCCCGGGCTCCCAGTGCTGCGTGGAGGGTGGTCCAGAGTGCATTGACTCCATCATTGACATGGACACAGTTTGCAAGAGGGTCTCAGCACTGGGGCTGGACGTGGCCGTCACCATCTCCAAGGACGCCGGCAGGTACGGGATGCCAGGGATCCATGGGGGCAGTTTGTGGAGTCATGGAATCCTGGAATGGGTTGGGTTGCAAGGGGGGTCTTGATCTCATCCAGTGCCACCCCCTGCCACGGGCAGGGACACCTTCCACTAGCCCAGGTTGCTCCAACCTGGCCTTGGACACTCCCAGGGATGGGGCAGCCACAGCTTCTCTGGGAATTCCATCCCAGTCCCTCTCCACCCTCACAGGGAGGAATTCCTTCCCAGTATCCCCTCTGGCAGCAGGAAACCATTCCCCCTTGCCCTGTCCCTCCATCCCTTGTCCAAAATCCCTCTCCAGCTCTCCTGGAACCCCTTTAGGCCCTGGAAATTTGGTCACGTCTTAACACCATCATATCACCACGTTCATGGAATCAGAGAATCCCAGAGTGGTTTGGGTTGGAAGGGACTTTAAAGCCCATCCAGTCCCACCCCCCTGCCATGGGCAGGGACATCTTCCACTATCCAAGTTTCTCCCAGTGCTGTCCAGCCTTGCCTTGGACACTTCCAGGGATCCAGGGGCAGCCACAACCTCATGTGAACATGTCCCGTGTGTTCCCTTCGTGCTCAGCTCTTGAGGCCCCTAAAATCCATACACTTGTCATGGAATCACAAGGTTGGAAAAGCCCTCAAAGATCATCAATTCCACCCATTCCCCCAGCACTGCCAAGGCCACCACGTGTCTCCAAGTGCCACATCCACGTGGCTTTTGAGGTCTCCCACACCTCACTTCTCACAGGGTTGGCAACACCCCCTATTTTTTGGTGGTCACCCAACCATCAGGGATATAAAAAACCAGTTCTTCATGGGGTTTTTTTTGTCTTAGATTTAATTAGAACAATCCCAGACTCACAATTCCAGGCTCGTATTTCGCTTTATCCCACTAAATCCCGGGATGTCGCCGCTGTTGTGTTGATCCACAAACGGCTCGTCCTGGGCTGTATTTGTGTGATTTTTTGGGGTAAATAATCCCTCTTTTTGCATTTCAGGTACCTCTGTGACTTCACTTACTACACCTCCTTGTACCAGAGCCGTGGCAGGTCGGCGTTTGTCCACGTTCCTCCGCTGGGAAAACCGTATTCCGCGGAACAGCTGGGCCGGGCCCTCCAGGCCATCATAGAGGAAATGCTGGATCTCTTGGAGCACTCCGAGGACAAAATCAACTGTCAGCACGAACACTGAGCGTGGGCAGGGAGGCCATCCTGCTATTGCACTTCCGAAATTTTCCCTGTTGCTGAAGTACTGAGGGAAAAAAAAAAAAACAAAACAAGAAAAACCAACAAAACCCGGGGCTGAGACGTTCCAGACCCAGAATTGGAGATTCCCAAAAAAAACCCCGAACAAACAACGACAACAACAAAAAAAAGGAAAATTCCTCTTCTAGAAATGGACTTTTTTTTTTTTTTTTGTCCGAATCTGTGAGTTTCAGCCTCGGCAACAAAGGATTCAAACTCTCTTCTTTCAAGACACCTCGTTCCTGAGTGACTGAAGTGTGTGTGTGCTGGGAGCTTCCCTGTCAGCCAGGTGATGGAATCCGGCACGGATATGGGAAGTTCCTCACCTGGACTTGGCCTTCAGGTGCAGGGAATGGATAACCCAGCCCTCTACTGGCTTGTCTTTGAGTTGAAAGGTTTGCTTTCAGTCAGTTTTGGGGTTTCTTTCCCCCCTCCCCTCCCTCTCTCTTTGACCCAAATTAGAAGGTAAAAGTACACCTGGAAAGAGTTGGAATGGCATGGGACTGCCTTGGAGAAGAGTTTGGTGGGGGTTGAGGAGTCTCCAATTGCTTTGCTGAAATGGGGAATTATTTTAGGCACTGACTCCTCACCCCACACCCTCCAAACATCAGTGATGTGCTGGTTAAGCGTAGCTGCAAGTAGAAGGGCTGTGTTTGGGTTCCTTTTGCCTGGAGCAGGATTTGGGGTTTTTTGGGGCCAAACTCTCGCCAAATATTCCCAAACATCTTCTTCTTTTTTTTCCCTGGCTCCCTCTTGGCCACCTTCCTCCCTCAAGTCAACCTCAAGTGGACCTCCTGCACCGAACACCTCTGCTCCTGAGTGTCCAAAATGAACCATCAGTGGTTAAAGAGCTTTGCTAAAGGCCACTTTTCCCATGGGAGATCCTTATCCCAGCCTCTTGGTGCTCCCTGTTGGGTTTTAAGGCAAAGGTTGAGTAATTTATAACTTCCTTAGTTACAAATTTTTCCCCCCTCATTCCAGTGATGTTTAACCCAAATCCCGAGTCGCCGCCTCTGGTTTAGGGGAGGCATCAAAATACAGATTAAAAGACGTCCTGTCAAATCTAATCCCAAACCTCCAACCTCTTCCCACCGCCTGGAAAGCCGAGGCAGTGGTTTGAAAACAAGGAATTTTGCTTTGGGTGAGGATTCCAGGCTCTTTCATAGTGTCTCTTCCCCCCTCCTCTCCCAGTGGGAGGCTCCGAAGTGCTGCTGCTTGTGTGGACTTTCCCAGGAATTCTCTTTTGGGGAAGGGCACAGGCAGGATCCAGGCAGGACTTGAAAAGTGGGTGATGCCTGCTGGTCACGTGTGGAGATTTTGCTGCCAAATCACGAGATTCCAACAAAAACCAGAGGATGTTGCAGCAGGAACAGACTCCAAATTGGTGGTTGAGGACCAGTCGAGCTCCTCAAGGAGCCTTTTAAATGAAAGAAGTCTGTGATTTGAATTAATACTTTTACAAATATATATATATATATATAAACCAACTTTTTGAAACGTTTTAAACCCCCTTATTTTAGTTTTTCCAATGCTGACTGGCTCTGTTTTAGTATCTCTCAGTGAGAGCTGCCCTGGACTTGCTGTTTGCCAGGAAAAAATAGGATGGCAAAGGACAAAACCACTCCTTGTAACCCTCAAGAGAGAGAGGACAAAGACTTTTCCAGATGCAAGAACTCTCAAGGGGGCACCTGTGGATGAAGAGTTTTGGGTAGACCCAGGGAAATTCCCTCTGTTTTCCCTCTCCAGGCTCAATCAAAGGAATTCTCCTTCCAATGGAAATATTCTTCCCCTTCAAATCCGAGGTAGCACTTGTCAGACTTTTCTGATTAGTAATTTATTCTATTTAATATTTTGCTGAAATCTTCGTGGTTTGATGCATTTTATTTTTATTTTTTTTGGTGATTAGTTGAGCTACTTATCCTGTAGTTTTATCCCTTTGTTGGTGGGAATTTTTCCTCCTGGGGGTTTCTTAGCTGCTAAACTTTGGGAAGGAGGAGTATCCACGTATTCCAGGAGCTTTGGTGATGGACTAATTCCCAGTTAAACTATTTAATTTTCCCTGTAATGTAGTTGTGGATAAAATGGGAGTGGAGGATCAACAGATTAGTGAGGCGACAACAGAATTCCAAGCGTGGAATTGGAGCAGGAGCGGGAAGGGCTGGTTGGAGCTGAGCTGGGTGGGCTCTGTGGGGGATCAGTGGGATCCAGGTGAGGTGTTCCCTGTCTATCCATGTCTCCTGGGTGTTCCCACACCCTTTGGAGCCTCGGAGATCCCACTGGTGGCTCCAAATCCGCCGGCAGGGAGCACAGACAGCAGCAGTTCCGTGGGAAGAGCTTCCCACACATCCTGTTCAACACCTATAAATATTCCTGGTTTGGGTGCTCTCTGCTATTCCAGGGGAAAATCCGGAGCCAGTTTCCGTGCCTGCTGCTGTCTGAGGACCACAGTGCTTGGCCTTGGATGTGTCAGTGTTAAAATCCCATTTTTTTTTTTTGGAAATGGTTCGCTCCGAGCTCTGCTCTTCTGAAGCTCCACGGGATCATGATGTTCCTTTAGGAAACATAATTTATTTTATACTCCTTTTTTTAGGGTTTTTTTTTTGAGAATTAGTCCTGAGGTTGTGTTTGTAAAGGGTGTCATGGTCATAGAGAAATTTCCTGTAGCGAAAACTTGGGGAAAAAAATGTCATTAAACTAATTTTATGTCATCTGACCTAAATTAAATACTATTTTTTTTCTGGGAGAGGGTGGGGGATTTCAAAGCTTTTTTTTTTTTTGTTGAATTCACCAAGCTTTTCCTCTAGGTGCATATATTTTTCTTTGGGAAATAGGATGTCCAAACTGATGCAGAGCTTCAAAAAGCCGATGGTTTGTGTAATCCTATATTTCCTCCCTCTTCCAGCTCCTCAGTAAATAAGGATTTGCTAATTTGCACTGACTGGGAGACCTGTTGCCAAGCCCAAAAAAAACCCCTTCGTGCCAGTGAGTGAAAGTGTAGGGAATTCAGCTGGAGTTGTTCATCCCCCTGTGACTTGGAAAATGGGAGAGCTGGTGGAATTTCAGGATCGTGCGACTGCAAAATTGGGGATACAGAGAAATGAAGGCTGAGGGTATTCGGTGTGGAAGAGAGAATTTAGGGAGGTTCCACTGGATGGGGGTCTGATGTCATTTGTCTGGGACTGGCCAACGTGTTGGGGAGGTTTGGGATGGCAGTTGGATTGTTCCGGTCGTTCAACGCTGCCGAGGATTTTGAGGAACTCCAGGTGCTCCTGAACATCTTAATTTGGTGGTGCTGCTGTCAGGAGGTGAATTAAACGTGAGGATCTGCTTTATAACCACGGGGGGAAAAGGGAATTGTGAGCTTGGAAGGTTCTTTTCCTTAAGGATTCATGTGGGACTTGATGATCCTTATGGATCCCTCCCAACCTGAGCGATCCTGGATGTGGTCACAGGGGTTTTTTTTACCTGGTGCAGAAGCTGTTTGTGATCTTTTGGAGAGAATCTCAAAACCTGGCAGCAGTTCACCTTATCTGGAGTATCCCTCAGCCTGGTTGTTTCCTCCCAGACGTGGGAGAAGGTGGGAAAAGGATGGAAAAGGTCGGGAAGAGGGTTCGAGGTGTCGAGTGGGGTTGTGACATGAGCAGCCAAGAACTGCTGAGCTTCCAGAGTCCTTCCAGGAGGGACCTGGCTGGGGGTGTTCAGAGTTTCACAAAAACCTGAACTTGTTTGCTCTTCTTTCACCCCGAAAAGGAGGGAATTTTTGGGATAAATGCTTCCTTGGAGGACGGTGGAGGTGGTGCTTTGGTTGGAAAGCTCAGCCCGAAGGAGTTGGGGGATTCCCACAGCAGGAAAAGATTCCTTGAACCAGAGCTCTGAGCTAAGATTGGAATTATCATCTCTGTAGGGTTTGTGCTGCAGAAAATCAGGTGGAAAAAAGGGACTTTGTGTCCCAACTCACCTGGAATCAGGTGTAGATCTAGCATCCAACCTCTCAAGCAGGCAATATTTAACCCCAAAGGGGATTATTCCAGGTTTTTATTCTGGAATAAAAACCCAGGAGCTTCCAGGCCTGCACAGACAGCACAGGCTCCCAGTGTTGTTGGTTTTGGTAAGGGAAAGCCTAAAAAAAAAGTTTAAAATCCACTGAAGTTTCTCAAACAATCTTGAGTTGAGTTGGAACTGGGGGATCTTTGAGGTCCCTTCCAACCCAAACCATCCTGGAATTCTCTGACCCGTTGCCCTCGTGGGTGGATTTTTTATTTTTATTTTTGTGTGTGTGAGAGGGAGAAAAGGAATTGCAGGAGGAGGAGGGGGAGGAACTTCTTCAAACCAAAAAAAAAATGGGAAAACCCTGAAAATGAGGAACTCTGTGACTCCCCACTGCCAAAGCTGCAGCAGCAACGACGCTCTGGCCGTGGTGGTTTCCTGGTTTAATTGGTTGTGACTCGGGAATCTTTTTGAATTTCTCCCGGATTTCTCACTCCCAGCAGGTTCCCAGACACAGCTGCTGCAGGAGGGAGTGGTGGTGTCTGAAAACTGCCTGAAAATCAGGATATTTAGACATAAAAAGTACTCAGTGTGGGGCTTTTCTTAATTCAGATTTCGCCCCCCCTCCCTACTGCAGATAAAACCATCAGGATTAATTTGTACAGATCCTTTCCCAAAGTAACTTCCTCCCTTTTATCTCCTTCCCTTTAATACTTCATCCAATAATATTTTAATGATTTTAATGTTATTTTAACGATAGGAATTTCAGAGTTGCAAAGGCTCTTTATAACTTTATTGACTTGGATAAACCCCCCCCCCTTTGTTGATACCATAAATACTCGTCTTGATGTAGATGGATTTGTTATTTTTGCACCAGAATCCCTAATTTTTTGCAGTATAAAGTGCACTTTTTCTTAAAAAAAAAAATACAAAAAACTTGTATTCCTGTCTGATGAGTGTCTTATGTGCTGAAAGTGATATTCTGCCAAAGCTCCAAAGCTGAGGATGTTGTTAATTCTTCGAGGTATTAATTGGAACCTGAGACCTGCTTCTGCTCAGTCTTGTTTTGAGACAAAAGCAGAGAAGGAAATGCCTCCCCAGGGACAGGAATTAAAGATGGGGAACGAAAAACTATCACTGCCCTTAAAACAAAAACTCTGTGGTACTTAAATCCTTAACTACAAACCTTCAGGTTTTTCTATTGCACCAGCTTCTTAAATCACAAATGTTTACTTTTCGATGATCAGGGAGTGCCTTGTCCTGTGCTGGGAAGCAGAAGGGTGGGGATGGAGATGGGTTAAATCCCCCGAGGTGGGGGGGGGGGAAAACTGCTGGATTGGTGGTTCCTGAGGATGCCCTTTGGAGGTGGAGCTCTCCAGGTTTGCTGACACACCCACAGGGACCTGACCAAGGGAAGGAGAGGAGGATTCGCTGCTTCCTTCTCACTTTTGGCTCGGGGTTGGCCCAATTCCTGAGGTGTTTTTTTTTTTTTTCCCCTGTGTCTCCTGTTGTGAAACCCACGGTGTCTGTCTGGGTGTATCTCAGGTGTTCTTCCCGCCTCGTGCTTGTCAGGACTCCTGGAGCAACAATTCCAACCCCCTCGGGGCTCCCGTTCTCTCCGTGTATTCTTGCAGTGCCTTGTAAACCCCAACCCCCCCCCCCCCGTGTGTCACGAAGGGCTGTGTTGTGAGGGACCAGCAATGTGCTCTCAGCTTGTACTGCCAGACTGGACTTTGTAACTGAGGATTTAAACCTGTGTTTCAAAGGAAATAAAGAGTTTAACTCTGACTCCACCGTGGTTTTTTAACCCTGGTTGTTTTTCGAGGTTACAAACCTCTTCCCCCCGTCCCACCCTAAACCACGTCCACGCGTCCTTTAAACCCCTCCACGGGGGTGGAAGTGCTTTGCTGGCTGTTTGAAGGGTTCCATCCCTGGCCCTGCTGCCCCTGGGCCTGACTGGGAGCAAACTGGGGTGGCTGGGAGGGCTGGTGCCACCAGATGGTGCTGCCATGCAGGCACGTTGTGCTTGGTGTCACCCCAGAGTGGGACAGCAGGGGGTTGGGAGGGGGGTGACCCCCTGCACAGATCCAGGTTGGTCCAGGACATGGGGAAGGTGCAACACCTGGATGGCTCCAGCTTGATCCAGGAGAGCCAGAGGGTGCAACACCTCCACAGATCCAGCCTGATCTGGGATGTGGTGCTGGATCCTGGAAGCAGGATCCTGGATGGCTCCTGGTTGATCCAGGGCAGCCAGAGGGTGCAACACTGCCACAGATCCAGCCTGATATGGGATGTGGTGCTGGAACCTGGATCCTGGATGGCTCCTGATCAATCCAGGACAGGTGGAGAGTGCAATACCTCCACAGATCCAGCCTGATCTGGGATGTGGTCCTGGAACCTGGATCCTGGAACCAGAGTCCTGGAACCAGGATCCTGGATGGCTCCTGGTCAATCCAGGACAGGTGGAGAGTGCAACACCTCCACAAATCCAGCTTGATCTGGGATGTGGTGCTGGATCCTGGATCCTGGAAGCAGGATCCTGGATGGCTCCTGGTTGATCCAGGGCAGCCAGAGGGTGCAACACCTTCACAGATCCAGGTTAATCCAGGACTTGAGGAGGATCCAATCTCTCCACAGCTCCAAGGTGGTCCTGGGGGCTTCTCCTGGTCCTGACTCTCCTGGTGTTGCAGAGATGGCAGGAAAAGGTGATGGTTTGTGCCTGGAGGGGGGGATCAGAAAGGAAAACATCCTGGTTCTTCTGGAATCTCTGCTTTTCCTCTGTCTTTTTCACGGAAATGTTGTTGTGGTTTTTTTTTTCCTGAGCTGCCACAGTGATCTTGCCAGGTTCTCCAGCCTTTTCTGGGAGACAGAGCTTTTATTCCCCCCACCAACACCCAGCACGTGCTGGAACACAGGGAATTTGGGATCTCCCTCCCAGATGAGCCAGGACTGGAGCTCCCTGATGACATCACTCCCCTTTTAATTCCCTTTATAAGGTGACAAACGTTTCCTGCACGGTGCTCCCAGGGGTGATTTCATGTTTCGGGCATGTCATGTTTTGGGCATGTCATGTGTCCATGAGGTCATTTTGCAAACAACTCCCTGGAGGGACAGATCCAAGGTTTTGCCGGTGCTGAGGAGGCTCATCGTGGAGCATCCCACTGGGATTTCTTGGTGGAGATCCAGAGATTCACGGAGGAGATGCCTTTGGTGGACTGGCCCCTCGTAGATCTTAATTCTTTCCTTTAACATCCTGCTCTGCTCCCCCTCTCTTCCAGCCTTCCAAACCCTTCCTAAACGAGGTGGGAATTTTGGGCAGCATCCATCTGGCAGGCTGCTCCCTCCCCGTGGTTTCCCAGCTTGCAAATCAAAGCTGAGCTCAGGCAAAGGTGCCCGGGGAGAGCCCACCCTCTCCTGCAGCCGCTGCTCCCCGGAGCTTCCAGCGGAGCTTCCAGCGGCCTGGGATCTGGGGCAGGGGAATGGCTGGAATTTCCTGCCTGCTCCCAGCAGCCCTCTCTGCCTCCAGTGGGGCATGTACAGACAGGTTCCCAGGGCATGTCCAAGGGCAAATCCAAGGGCAAATCCCAAGCAGGTCCCAGGACGTGTCCCAGCGCTAATCCCAGGGCAGATCCCAAGCAGCTCCCAGGGCAGGTCTCAGGGCATAAGCCAGGACATGTCCCAGAGCAAATCCCAGGGCAGATCTCAAGCATGTCCTAGAGCAAATTCCAGGTTAGATCCCAAGACGTGTCCTAGGACAGGTCCTAAGCAGGTCCCAGGACATACCAGTGCAAATCCCATGGCAGATCCCAAGCAGGTCCCAGGACATGTCCTAGGACATGTTCCACAGGGCAAATCTCAAGCAGGTCCCAGGGCATGTCCAAGGGCAAATCCCAAGCAGGTCCCAGGACATGTCCCAGAGCAAATGCCAGGACAGGTACCAGAGTAAATCCCAGGACAGATCCCAAGCAGGTCCCAGGGCAGGTCCCAGAGCAAATCCCAGGACAGGTCCCAGAGTAAATCCCAGGGCAGGTCCAGGACATGCCCCAGCACGTCCCAGAGCAGGATTCGCTGCCTCTCCCGCCCTGGGATGGGCTCCTGGGGATGAAAAGCCTCCCAGCACAGCCGAGAATTCCCAGTATGAGCTTCCCACCGCAGGGATGATGCTCTGCCTGCCAATTCCCCCATTCCAAGGGCTCCTCACCGTGGCTTCCAACCGCGCTTCCCTTTCCCCGCTGCCGGGTGGTCCCACCTGGATCCAGCCTTCCAGGGGATACACAGGGACGTTCTCCACCAACCTCTGCTGCAGGGTGGGATTTTCTTGGCCAGCTCCCAACCAGCCTGGGGGGGGAGAAAATCCCTTCTTGCTGCTCCTCTCCAGCTGCTTCCCGCTGCTGTGGATGCTCCATGCGGGAGCAACGTGCCCTGTGTACACAACCCTTTCCCGAGTCATGCTCCGGTGACTAATTCCCTCCTGACAGGCACGTGGAGCCTGGTCCGTGTTTGGGATCACAAATAAATCCGTTTGTTTCTGCTGGAGGTCGGACTCACGGCAACTTCGTGGAATTCTCCCTCACCTTCCACCCTCATTCCTCATCCAAAGCTGTGCCTTGTGTTTCAAAAAAAACCCCATCTGGGCTCTTAAAATCCTACAGGTTTAAGGTTGTCCTTCCCTTGGAGCATCTTCCTTGGTAAAAGAGATGCTGTTCTGGGATGTGCCCAGGTTGGATTTGATTTCCTCCATCTATTTTTCCCATCACTTAAAAAAAAAAACCCAAACCAAACATCCAGACCCTTCAGTTTTAAGGAGCTTTCTGGGTTAACCTTCCCTTTTTTCCATGTCCTAAGGGTTTCCTTAGTAAAAGAGATGCTGCTCTGGGACGTGCCCACACTAGATTTGATTTCCTTCATCTATTTTTCCCATCACTTAAAAAAAAAACCCCAAACCAAACATCCAGACCCTTAAAATCCTTCAGTTTTAAGGAGATTTCTGAGTTGTCCTTCCCTTGTAGCATCTCCCAAGGGTTTCCCTGGGAAAGGAGATGCTGCTCTGGGATGTGCCCAGGTTGGATTATGTTCCTTTCATCCGTTTTTCCCATCTGCTCCCTGTTGGAAAAATTTTTGGAGGAAGGATTTAGAGCTCATCTGAGTCCCTTTGGAGCCTCGTGCTCCGCTCCTGGGTTCAACCCCACCATCCCAAGGGTGCTCCCAAAAGCCTTGGTCTGGGAATACCTCCTGGAAAATGGAGGGAAGGGGCTGTTTGGGCACACTGGAGGGCCAAGAGGCATCTCCCGCGGAACAGAAAGAGGCTCCCACCATAGAAAAGCTGCTTTTTAAAGCTGCTTCTCAATAACAGTCTCAATAACCCACATCAATCCTGCTCGGGTTGAGCTCGTTCCCAGCTGCTCCTGTAGATGATCCGGAATATCCTGAGCTGGAAGAGACCCACAAACCCCATGAAATCCAGCTCCATGAATGCCCTCCAGGTGTTTATACCTTCCGATGGGGAAACACCATCACAAACCACAAAGCATCCTCACCTGAGCACACCCGGGAATCCTTGTGTCCCGGGAATCCCCGTGTCCCGGGAATCCCCATGTCCCGGGAATCCCCATGTCCCGGGAATCCCTCCAGGAAAGACGCTCCTTGGAAGCTGAGAACATCCTGGTGGCGAGAGCATCTCCGTGAGGAAGGTGTTGGTGGCGTGACCGAGGATTTCCCAAGCCCCATTTCCATTTTCGGCGGTCGGATGGGAGGCATTTCCTGCACTTCCCAAGGCCGAGGGGGGCCGGGAATCCGAGTTAATCGTTGACTGGGAGGCAGGAATGTCTTTGTCCAAGTGGAGCAGAAGTCTCATTTTTGGGAGATGCCGTAAACTTTGGAGCAAAGGGGAGAAAAATGTGATTCCTGCTGGGATGGGGGCAAAAGCTGCTTTGTTTTGCTCGTCCTGGTTGTCTTTAGTTGGGAAACATCCAAAGGTCACCTCGGCCTCCACTTCGCCACTCCATGGTGGCAGCACCCAGCGTTGGGAAAACACTGGATGTGGCTTCCCAAACATCCCACGCTGGCAGCAGAGGGAAAGCCCCATCTCCCATCCCCCTGTGCCCATCCTCAGACCCAAAATGAGATGGGATGGAGCCGCAATCCCCCTGTAAATCGAGATATGATCCACACTGCCGGAGGCCTGGCTGGGTTCTTCCCCTTCCCCTGAGGGTTTTCTCACTCTGAATTATCCCTGGAAGTGCCAGAGGTGCCTCCAGCCCCACTTTCCCTTGAGACCAACCCCTAAAGGGCAGCTTGGATCTCCCTGTGGTGGCAGCAGCCAGGCTGCTCTTCCCATCTTATCCTTTGGAAAAATGCGCCGTGGGAAAGCATTATTTGCCTCGCTTTCAGGGGGTTTTCCTCCTCCACTGCCAAACTTGCTCAGCCCAAGTGATTTTGGGGTGCAATGAGGTCCCTGTAGGATGTGGGGAGCACCTGATCCGTCACTGTTTGCCTGGCAGTGGGAAGCTCTGGGTGCTGGGAGCTGTAACCCCCCTCTGTGGGTCCCGGGGTGATACCCCCCCTCTTCTGAGGGGCTCTCGGCACATTTTTGGGATCCCTTTGCTCAACAGCTGCAAGGAACCGAGAGACCCGAAATCCAGAGGGCAGCACTTCCCCTCTCACCACTTCTGATAAGGAACTCTACAAAAAAAACCACCCCGAGGTTTCTGTCAGCTCATGCAGCTGGGGGGAATTTCCTGCTTTTTGGGGGAATAGAAGCCCTCTGGAGCCCCCTCATCTGTGCTCTCCCCCCTCTCAGTGTCCCCCCAGCAGAGCTGGGAGGGCAGGGCAGGGGCAGCCCCTCGACCACCATCCCAAGGATCAGGGGGAACGATGGATTTTGAGGAGCCCCCCGTTGCACGTGGCGGGTTTGGGGTTTTGTTCTCGGATCCAACACGGCACCGGGAGCTTCTCCGGTCCCGCTCCAAGCCCTGCTCCAGCTGGTTCAAGCACAGGGCTGCATCCAGCCCACGTTCTGTGGGGAAGTGACTCATGCTCATGTTCCCCTTCCTGGGTTTTTTAGAAGTTTAATCTCAGCATTTGCGAAGCGGCTTCTTCCCCTCAGTCTCGGCCATGGGATGGCACCCACCACCCCCACCACGCTTCCCACCCATCCCCATCCCCTGGAGATGGAGAGAAGGGAAAAAGACTATTTACAGAGAATCATGGACTGGTTTGGCTTGGAAGAGACCTTAAAGCCCACCCAGTTCCACCCCCTGCCATGGGCCAGGACACCTTCCACTACCCCAGGCTACTCCAAGCTTCATCCAACCTGGCCTTGGACACTTCCACACCTTCCCAGGCTCAGCAGTGCCTGCTCTGAGCTTTCCCTGGACTTCCCAGCAGCCTTTCCAGCCACTGGATCTCTGTGTGATGCTTTAATCACCGAATCCCCCAATTTCTCTCCTGCTTGATGTGTGTGGAGAAGCGACAGCCCCGTGGCATCAGCTCCTGCTCTCCCTCATCCCATCTCAGGTGCTCTGAGCTCCAGGAGTCCCTGGGAACAGCAATCCCATGGTCTTTCCTGCTCTAGATCCCTGTCAGGTAGGTGGGATCTGCGCCAGCCTGAGGGACCCACAGAGGATGCACTAAGTGGAGAGGAGTCTTCATCCCACTGGGAAGAGGCGTTGGATAAACCTGATCTTCATAAAGCTGACCTTCATAAACCTGACCTTCATAAACCTGACCTTCATAAACCTGACCTTCCGAGGCCAAAGGATGTGCTAACGGCCCGGGAAGAGCTGGGAGGAAACGTGGGATGGAGTTAATCCCCTCTTGCAGGCTGGTGAGGACACGCTGGGACATTTCATCATCGCTTGGTCGGGAATCAAACCAGCTCCCAAAATCCCTGTTTTATGGCTTTAGCTGGACTGTAAATCTCCGACTTCCAGGGCTGGCGCCTTTCAGGGGGGAAAACATCCGGCTCCAGCAACCTTTGGTGCTCCGGGAGCGGCGGGACCGTGCGTCACTCCGGGATGGGGCTCGCGCCCACGGAGAGAGAATCCATTGCAAAAGCAGAACTTCGGGATTTCGGGGTTTGCCGGGTCTTGCTCAATGTGATCGAAGGGGTCGGGGCCTCTTCCCCTGCCTGGATGTGCCGAGGGCTCCGTTTCAGCTCTGGATGAGCACGTTTGGCACCATGTGGATGGTGGAAGGGGCTGGTGGCCGGGCTGGCACCTGCCGGGGCCACGGAGATGTCTGGAGTGGAGGGGGTGATGTGATGGTGATGGTTCTGCCCCAGGGTGGTAGCCAGAAATTTGTGGTCCTCCTGGGTGATGCTCCCTCTCCCTTCCTCCTTGGAGTGAGGGGGATGAAGGATTCCAATCACTCCAGCTGACAAAATCCCTGGGAGAGGGATCACAGTGGGTTTGGTGCTCTGGGAACTCCCTAAGGATCCCTGACGGGAAGATGCTCCAGGAGAGGGGTCCATCCCTGCCCAGCTGCTGGAGGGCTGGGTAATGTCCCACGCATGGCAGCAGCGGGATGGTGCCCAAATCCACACGGGATGAAGCTCTGGAGATAAACGAGGCTGCAACATTTCCCTGGGAGCCACACATGGGGTTTCACCCAAACTGGATGCCCTGGGAAGAGAAAGGCTCCAGCTCCTCCTCACCCGTCCCACTGCAAGGACGGATCCAGAGCTGGGCAGCAGAGCCAAAGCCAGGGCAATCCCCCCCAACATGATGCTGGTCATCCTGACAAACTTCTCCTTTCCCGGGTTTTAGGGTGAAATGTTTGTTCTTGGCTTTGCCTCAGGCAACCCCTTGAGAAACCGGGTGAGAAAAGCCCGAGGAGAAGCAGGGGATAAACAGCCTTAAATCACGGGATTACTGCGTGCACGTTCACCCCCTGGCAGGAGCACAGCTGAAGACCAGGCACTTGGATCAACTTCAGGACGTTTGGGAACGGCCTCGCCTGCCCTGGGAGGACCTGCCCGTCCAACTCATCCCACCAGCGGTTCCTCATCCGCCCGCTCGTGTTTTTTCGGTCCAAGCATCCCTGAGGAGAAGGCAGGAGGTGGGTGGTCCCGTGCCAACCTCCGTGGCTCGTTCCCACCGAGGATTTTTCTCCTCCCGTGGATTTTCTCCTCCCTAGCCCTGGTCTGGCACGGCCGCTGCCCGGCACCCACGTGGCCCCGCCGGATTGGTGGCAGGCTCCGTCCTGCCTGGCTCCATTTGGGGAGGATGATGATGATGTAACCCAGTGCCACAGTTGCTTCAGAAGGACCGGGACACGGGACATACCCACCCCTCTCGGCCACACCTGCACGGAGAAACCGGTGCCAGCAGCCGGTTTGGTGGGACAAGGTCCAGGGCTGATCCCACTCCTCCTGTGGGCGCACACCCGGCACGAGCCCGGCAGCCCAGCTCCTCCTCCCCGCCCCATTCCCGCCTCGGTGGGATTTCGGGAAGGGGCTGCGTGCGCCTGGATCAGCCCCCTCGTGTGATAACAGGCGCCGGGGCGAGGCGACAGGCAGGGAAGGTGGCTGAGGATGCAGGGATGGACGAGCCACGCTGGAATGCCGCACAGCATCCCCTCTCCATCTCCCCCTGCCACCCGCAGGGGGAGGTGAGGGGGATTCCCCCGGCCACTCGATCCCGTGGGGGAAACGGGAAGCGGAAGATGGTGGAATAATTGTTGCTGAGAAATAGTATTCCAGACTTTCTTGTCTCTACAGCTGCAAACCGGCTTGTAAATCACCCGGGGCTCCAGCACTGCCAGAACCTCTCGTGCGAAATCCCAGAGAGGAGAAATTCCTGCTGGGAGTTTACTCTGTCACCCACGGCAGGAGGGCGGGCAAAGTTCGGCTCCTATAAAGTCTGGTCTGGTCCAGTTCATTCATTCCCCTGGCAGCACGTCCAGCCTTTGCACGAGATTCGGCAGTAAAGGCTGCCCCGGGAGCTGCAGGATGCCGAGGAGCGCGATGCCCAGAACGCTGAGGGATGTTTTGGCCACCCTCACCTGCCTCCAGCTCCTTCTGCCCCTCGCCGCCGTGGATTCCCTGCCCCTCACGTGGGACCAGGACAGGCTCCAGCTGGAAGCCGTCAAAAAGGGGATCCTGGAGCGGCTGGGAATGCCGGCTCCCCCCGTCATCCGGCACCAGCCGGACCGGGAGAGCATCCAGAGAGCGCAGCGGCTCTACCAGCAGAAAGTGGCAGAGCTGGCAGGGAACCGGAGCCGGGAAGAGGAGGAGGAGGAGGAATCCATGTCCAGGACCCGGCGTTTGCACAGCCTGACCCCCATCCGTAAGTGACTCCCTGTCATCCCACGACCCTCATCCCCCCGGGACACACGTGTGTCCCAGCGGGTCCCAGCGTGTCGGGCACTGTCGGGACATGACCGGGCATGCAGCACGGTGGCCACGGGCATCCTCGTCCCGCGGCTTCCTTTGCCCTGGAAGAGGGGAGGAGCCGCTGCTGGGGCTGTTTTTGCTTAAAAACACCAAGAGCAGGGAATTTGGGATGGAAGCTTTTAATCGGCGGCGCGGTGGCGGCTCGGGGGGCTCGGAGAGAGGCTCGGGGTGGTTTGGGGGTGAGAGGAGGGGAGGTGCCATCCCTCGACCCCCAGCTTGAGCCCGAGTTTGGGGGGTTTATCTGAATCTTGGGGGGTTTTAGGGGAATATTCTGCTCCTGCTGCTTGGGCTGGTGCGGGGACAGCCGGGGAGTGGGGTGGGGGGTGCCCCAGTGCAGGGCACCTGCTCTGGCACCAGCAAAACTGAGACCCTCCATCTCGAGGGTCCCTGGAGATGGTGGGTCCTGAGTGATCTGAGGGTAGGGATGGATTTCCAGCGCCCCCGGGGATTTGGGGGATTCCCCGGGAGCGGCGGTTCTGCTGCCTGAGCGGAGCTGGTCACAAGCCCGGGCTGACGGGAGAACTGCCGGCTCTTACATCAGCTGTCCCTTCTGTCCCCGCAGTGCTGCGCTGGCCGGACATCCCGCAGGGAAACGGGGACTCCCAAGGACACCAGGACTCCCGCGGTCCCTACCGCTACCACCTCCTGCTCTCCCGCACCGAGGAATTCCAGCGGCAGCTCCAGGTGGTTCAGGCGGAGCTGAAGCTCTTCAAGCGGTCGCCGGCGTCCCCCGAGATGTCCCCGCGCGGCGCCTCGGTGCCCCCCCGGGTCACCATCTACGCCCTGCAGGGGGACGAAGAGACCCCCCAGCTCGTGCAGAGCCAAGAGCTGGACCCCGATTCCCGGAGCCTGGATGTGACAGCAGCCATCCAGCCCTGGGTGGCCGGTCCTGAGGCCACGCTGCGCCTGGAGCTGGACTTCACAGCCAACGTCTCGGGCGCACTGGCCACTTCAGAGGGGGAGACGCTGGTGCTGGAGGTGGAAACCCGGGAGAACGCGGCTCGGGGGGCCAGGAGAGCCCGGGGGCTGGAGGAGGAGTGCGGGAAGAGCGATGGGAAGTGCTGCCTGAAGTCGCTGAAGGTCTCCTTCCAGGACATCGGCTGGTCGGACTGGGTCATCGCCCCCCACAGCTACTACATGAGGTTCTGCGAGGGTTCCTGCCCCCACAACTACAAGCCGGCCAACATGCACGCCCAGATCAAATCCCGGGTGCATTCCCTGTCCAAGGCCACCCCCCCTCCCTGCTGTGTCCCTGCTGGATACGACCCCATGGTGCTGATGCACTACGACGGCGAGGGCAGGCTGGTCTCCAGCGTCTTCGAGGACATGCTGGTCACCAGGTGCCACTGTGCCTGATGGCATCGCTGGTGGCTCCAACTGGGATGTGTCGCTGCCTGCCCAGGTGAGGCTTCCTGGCAGCTCCAGCATCCCCAAAATCCAGACCCTCTGGCACCAAGGGCCTTCACATCGGACCCAGATTACCCAGTTCCACCCTGGGGCTTTCAGCTCCGTTTTCCAGCTCAGCCCTGGGCTCTCCAGTTCTGGATTCCTCTCCGCAACAACATATTCCCTCCTCTCTTTTCTTATTTAAATCCATATTTTATTTATTAAATCCATATTTTGTTTTATTAATCCATACTTCATTTTATCCTCCCACCTGAGATACCCCAAAGGGGCCGGGGTGGGTCTGTTCCCTGGGTGTCCACATCCCACTCCATCCCTCCTTCTCTGCTCTTATTTATTGATAGAATAGTAGAATAGACTTATTTATAGAACCCCCTTATTTATTTCTAACTTATTGTATTTTACAGCAAAGCGACTTTTTTTGAGGGAAACGAGGGGGGTTTTTTTGTCTATTTGTACTTTATATATTTCCATAAAACAGGAAGGATATAATAATGTCAATGAATAAAGTGATGGGAACAGGGATTCTGGCTGCTCCTCCTGCACAGCTGGCTGGGGGGGGGGTCTCCTACCAGAGCCCCTCAGCTCCTTTGGGATCTGACTCCATATGGATTTGCTGGTAAATCCTCGTGGCTTTCCAGTGCCATGCTGCCAACGTGTCAGTAATATCTGGGCACTGCTCCAGAGACCTTTGAGTTGTTTATGCCCTTGGGATGGGTGTTGGGCACAGCCTTGACCCCTGGGAGGGACGTCCAGCCAGGATGGGGCCGTCACCCGATTTCCAGGTGCCTCCGGCCCTGGGACCACATGGGCACCAAGGGGTGGGGGAAACCCCCCAGGGGGGTCGGGGGCACACGGTGTGTCCCCACCACGGCTGTTTGGGGTGGCTGTGCTGGTCACAGCTCCTCTCTGTCCCGTCCCCTCTCCCGCTGGGATCCGGGGGTGTCCTGGGCTTCCCGGCCCCTCGGCAGCTGCCGGTGGGGACCTGGGCTTGGGGGATGTGGGATATGGGGACCTCTGTTCTGGGAAGGGGGGCGTTGGGGACCAGGGCTTGAAGGACACAAGCTATGGAGATGTCCACTGTGGGGACATGGACTTGAGGGACCTGGGTCTTGGTCCCTTGGGACCACCACTTTTGGGATGTGGGCTCTGGGGACCTGTCCTTGAGGGTATTGGTCCCTTGGGACCCCTGCCCTGGGCAGATGGGCTCTGTGGATGTGTCCTTGGGGCTCTTGGTCCCTTGGGACCTCCACTTTGGGGACAAAGGCTTTGGGGACCTGTCCTTGAGGGTTCTGGTTCCTTGGGACCTCCACTTTGGGGACAAAGGCTTTGGGGACCTGTCCTTGAGGGTTCTGGTTCCTTGGGATCCCCGCTTTGGGAGCTCCAGGGACCTTCCACTGGGAAAAGCTCTGTGTCCTGCCCAGGGCTCCCCACAGACCACGAGTTCCATGGGTAATTAAAGACAATTAAACCATTTAATGGGCACGGTGAACCCTCACAGGGGCCAAGGTGGGGGGGGAACGGATGAGGGGACACCCAGACAAGGCACAGGGGGTCCCCCTGTCCCCCAGGCTGCCATTCCCCTCAGGGTGCCCAACTCGGGGTCCCACCAGGAGGACTAAAACCAGGGATTTTTCCCTCCATTCCCCAGAGTGGCAGATTGAGCAGGAGGAGAACAGGGGGCACAGCCAGGCCCAGATGTGCCCAACCACCAGCACAGCCCCGAGCCAGTGCTGCCCCCAGCACTCCCCATCGGCCCCAAAAGGGGAAGAGGAACCCAAGGCCATGGTCACCCCTTGGCCCTGCTCCTTCCCGGGGGCCCCGTGTTCGTCCTGGGGCCGGAAGGCTCCGGCTGCCGGCGGATGCGGCGTCCCCGCGGTTGGTGGCCACCGGCCCCGGGAGGAAGTGTCAGCTCAGCCCTGGCTGAGCCCTGTGGTGGGAACTGGGGCTGTGGCAGGGCCTGGGGCTGGGGGGTGTTAAAACCAACCCCCCCACGGGGTGGCATTCCCACAGGAAATGTCGCGTGGGAACCACGGCCGTGGGGGAAACCCGTGGAGCCGTGGGGAGCGCCCGTCCCTGTCCCCTCTGGGGTGGGGGGACAGCAGGGGAAGAACGGCAGCGGGGGGCAGAGGGTCCCCCAGTGTCCTCCCTGCCCCCCCCCAGTCTCTCCCAGTCCCCTCAGTGGTCAGGAACAATGTAAATGTCCTCAGTGGGGCCCAGAGTGTTGGCGTAGATGGGCTGGTCCCCGGGATCAGCCTCACTCTCCAGGAAATAATTCTCATCCTCCGGGACCTGGGGGCTGGGGGGGCAGAGGGGGGATCAGTGGGCAGTGAATGTCCCAGGGGTTGGGGAGGGAAGGGCTCAGGCCCTGGAATTGCCTGGGACTTGGGGATGGTGGGATGGGACAGGACAGGAGGGCACGGGGTGGCACGTGTGGGACTGGACAGCATGGCACAGCAGGGGGTGGGATGGGATGGGATGGGATGGGATGGGATGGGACGGGACGGGACGGGACGGGACGGGACGGGATGGGATGGGATGGGATGGGACGGGACGGGACGGGATGGGATGGGACGGGATGGGTTGGAACAGGATGGGAGATGATGGATGGATGGATAGATGGATGGACGGACGGATGGGATGGGATGGATAGATAGAATAAAATGGGGTGGGATGAGAGGGATGGGATGGATGGATGGGATGGCTTGGGAGGGGATGGGATGGGAGGGGATGGGAAGGATAGATAGAATAGGATGGGATGGGATGGGATGGGATGGGATGGGATGGATAGATAGAATAGAATGGGATGGGATGGGATGGGATGGGATGGGATGGGATGGGATGGGATGGGATGGGATGGGATGGGATGGGATGGGGTGCCAGCACAGCAGGATGGGATGCCAGAGCCTCACCTGTACCGCTGCTCCTTCCATCCCGGTGCCCATCCCTGCTTGGTGGCCGGGGCGGTGCCGGGGCTCACGAAGACGTTCTCGTAGTCGGGCACATCGGCGACCTCGGCGACCTCGTTGGTGCCAACCCCGTTGTCCTGGCTGATGTACTGGGGCTGCCGGACACCCGCACCGGGGTCCTGCTTCCCCCACCCTGCCCCGGCCACCGCGGCCCCCGCCCTCCTCCGCCGATAACACACCAGGGCAGCGCCCACGGCCACCAGCGTGGCCACCGCGGCCACCGCCCCGGCCACGCCGCCCACCAGCCCCGCGCTGACCCCGCACTCCCGGCCGTGGAATTCCGTGACGTTCAGGGACTCCCGGGGGGACGTGAAGCAGCGGCACCACCGGATGGCCGGGCGGGCACAGGGGGCCAGGACGGTGCCCACCACATCGCAGCGGCAGGACACGGTCAGGGAGGTGAGGGCGGGATGGAAGGCGTCGGGGGGCACGGCAGAGAGGGGGTTCCCCTCCAGCTTCAGGGTGCTCAGGGCCTTGGCGTGGGTGAAGAGCCCCTCGGGCAGCTCCCGCAGCCGGTTGTAGCTCAGGTCCAGCTTCTCCAGCCCGGGCCCGAGGCGGGATGAGGGGCTCAGGGCCTCGATGCCGTTGTGGCTCAGGCACAGCCGTCGCTTCTGGTAGAAAGGGCCCAAGTCCAGCTCGGCACATCCACGGGTTTTGTTGGTCAGGTCCAGGTCTTGGGCATCATCCCCCAGCACGCCAAAGCAGAGGGACGTGGGGACTGTGGGGCTCATGGGGGTCACAGGGTGCAGCAGCAGCAGCAGCAGCACGAGAGGAGCTGCAGGGACCCCCATGACCCCTCCAGCACACCGGGAACGCCTGGGTGGGAAACAGGAATCAGGACCCTCGTTCCCACCGGATTCCCCCTCCCGGTGCAAACCAGTGCAGCCCAGTCCGCCCCCCCCCCGTCCTGCTCCTTCTCTCCCAGGGCTGGGCAGCTCCCGGGGGTCCCAGCAGGTCGTTTCCTGCCCCCTCCTCCCCAGCCCCAGCCCCTCCCGACTCGCCTGCGCTCCGGCCGCTGCTGCTGGTGCGGGGAAGAGGAACGGGCGGGTCCAGTGGCTCTGTGTCACCCCGTTAGGGCGTAGCCAGCCCCGGAGGGGGGCAGGGGGGCAGCACCCCCCAATTCAGCACCCCCTGGCCCCCACCGGACCCCCCCCGTCCTTTCCTGGGGTGCTGAACATCCCCCCGGCACCGGCTGGGGGTCCCCTGTGCCTTGGGAGCATCCGAGGGGTGGGGGGCACACGTGGGCACACAGACTCCCCCACTGGCAGCACGGGGACCCCCCCTCTGCATGTGAAGGGTCCCCAGGGCTGGGTGGGAGGGGGGCTCTGTGCGTGGATGGGTGTCCCTGTCCCCTGGGTGTCCCCATCCGGGTGTCCCTCCCGTGGCCGTGTCCTCCCCGTGGCTGCCACTCGTGTCCGTGTCCCACGTGCGCTGAGTCCACCGTGGTTTTGTCCACTCCTCGTTTCCAAGCCCCTTTGTGCCCACCCCTGCTGTGTCCCCATCGTGTCCCCCCGTGTCCCTCTCTGTCCCTCTGTGTCCCGCCGTGTCCGTGTTCGCCCCCTGGTGTCCAAGTCCTTCCATGTCCACCCACCCACATCCGCGTCCGTGTGTCCCTCCCCGCGTGTGAGTGTCCGTGCACGCGCACGTCCGTGTCCCTCCACGTCCCCTCCCTCACCTCCGTGTCCCCCCTCGTGTCCGTGTCCCCCCTCGTGTCCGTGTCCCTGTACACCCATCCCCTCGCATGTGTCCACCCCCTCGTGTCCGTGTCCACCCTGTCACCCGTGTCCTTCTGTGTCCCCTGCGTCCGTGTCCGCCCCCATGTGACCGCGTCCCTCCACGTCCACCCTCTCCCATCTGCGTCCCTCTGTGACCTCCGTGTCCAACCCCTCGTGTCGCTGCCCCTTTAAGTCACCCCCTCGTGCCCGTGTCCCCTCTCCTGTCGATGATGCCCCTCATGTCCGAATCCCTTGGTGCCCACCCCTTTCTGTGTCCCACGCACATCCATGTCCCTCCACGCCCACCCCCTCACGTCCGTGTCCCCTGTGTCACATCCGTGTCCCTCTGCGTCCCATGTCCACCCCTTCATGTCCACGTCCCTCCGTGCCCAACCTCCGTGACCGTGTCCCCCCTGTCACAGCCGTGTCCCTCTGTGTCCCCTACGTTCGTGTCCACCCCCTCGGGCCCGCATCCCTCCACGACCCCCGTGTCCGCCTCCACCCTGTCACATCCGCGTCCCCCGTGTCCAACCCCGCGTGTCCCCCGTGTCCAACTCCTCATATCCGTGTCCCCCCATCACGTGCCTGTCCCTCTGTGTCCCCCCCGTCCGTGCCCAGCCCCTCGCGTCCGTG